AACTTAAAACTATTGCAGAATATGATTTAAAATCAGGCACACTTACCTCAAAAATATCTTCTATTTTGTATAGAAGTCGTCGTCTGGCTTCAGCTTGTTTATCTAATGATGCTTCAGTTTCTTGCTTATGGTATCTTCCAGATTTTGGAATGTGTTCTTAATTGTATTGTCTTCATTTATTGTATATATCCGTGTATTTGTTATTATTTTAAGCCCGTATAATTTTATATAATATATAAAACATTACAGGTATAGAAATAACAAAAACATTTAACTAAGTCTTAATATTAATTTACTTTTAATTTTGTACTATTAAAGAAATCTAGAATCGATTCAACAGGTAGGTAAACAGTTTTAATTTAGATTTTTTTGTAACTTTTTGGCGTAATTTATCTTACCCTTTTTACAATTAATTTAAGGCCAATTTAAGGCACGAGAATTTGTTTTTGTTTCAATTTGTCTTCATCTCCCTAAAAATCTGGATCGGTCGATGAAATTGGTCGAAATATTTCCAAACTTAGCTGCCGAAAGTCTCAAATATCACTTAGCCTTATAGTAGTCCGAGTCTTTCACTAAATTACTTTTCACTATATATATGGAGAGTCTGTATATAAAAATCAATATAACTCAATCGAAAAGTTCCCAAAATAACCAGGTTGTTTAAATGTACTTAAAGAACTGAAATGCTTAAATTCTCTTTTCTATTGTTTCCTTGTAATAACGGTTGATATAAACGTAAAACTTGTTCTATTGCGAAAAAACGTGTTACTTTATCGTCAAATGGCTGTTGCTGTTATTAGTGTTGCTAATTTCTCCTTCGCTATAAAATCTTGGAGTCTTTTAGCTTCTTGCGCATTTAACTTAGTATGATCTGCATTTAGATAACCATGGTCTTCTTTTTCTTCCCATGGGTTTTCTGTTTCTTCTTAAATTAATTTCGGCGGCTCCTCCTGGATGGTCGTAGATGTAAGTTCAGCCCTGTTACAACGGATCCAAGTTGAACTGCCTTTCAGTTGCCTTAACACTAGTTTATAGTTTACAAAATGAAACCGGTGGTGTTGCTGTGATCTGTTCAAGTGTTGCTGATTACTATCGATTATGGAATCACTTAAAATCTACGATGATTATGTGAAAAAACTGAATAAAGTCTATTGCGTAAAACTATCTCTTGAATGTGTCAGCGGTCGGCGATGACTCGGACGCATGCGCGCGGTTTTTCGAAAAATTTTGAAACCAAAAGATTGGTATTTGTAATTTTCGATTGATTTTTTTTTTATTTTAGGCCGTTTTGAAATTTTTTGAGAGGTTTTTTTTTGATGATTTTTTGCGCGGTGAGGGTTTTTTGCGCGTTGCGTAGGTGTTATACACGCGTAGTCATCAGCCTCGCTGGGCACACTGTCGGTCGGAAGATTGCATCGCTGCTGCAATGGTGGGCGATGGGATGGGTATGGGTGGTCACCTACCTTCCTGTGACCCCATCCCAATGACTCGCGTACACCTCGGAATCATCAAATAATGATTTTGTGTTTATTATAAAACTACATAGGTATATAAAGCTCGCGAGGAAGGAATTCAATTTACAAATTATTCGTATGTTTGTGTGCGTTTCGTAAAGTATTTGTTATTAATTTCGAGTTAGGAATTATAAACTTGTGATCTATTAATTTGTTATATTAAAATACCTAGCTTATAAATATACATAGACGGTGCATATAGATGATCGATAATGATATAAGTAGAAAATCATGTCAGGGCTGTCTCTTTAGAATTATCCACATGTTCACACTAGTAAGTACGTTATCAAAAGAATCTGAGTTTCTCATATATAAGGCGAAGATAAAAAAAAAGACACCTTTTTGTGGGTATTCACTATATTATTTAAAATACTGCGTCCATAAGCAAAATGCATTGTCGACCTTTATATCTTCGGATTACCTATAACTTCTTATCCACTTATCTATTACATATAAGATATCTGTTATATATTATATGTATCTACCAGTTTTAATTAAACGTCTAGTTGCATGCGAGTTAAATTATCTATGGACATAATATTTTTAAATATATAATAATTACAGAATTTTAATATTGTTTAAAATGACGTTATGAGAACTTAATCTAACTATTGGGCAAGTTTAAATTATCTGTATTTTGAGAAACTGACCTAGGACAATACGACCAGACCAGATCTATTCAGGGATTTAGCTTGTTGTTTAGTACACAGTTCGTAAGTAGGTATAGCTATTATTGTTTGTTTTAAGATTTGCTATTCCCTTCAATACCTTGAATTGATTTGTTACTTTGGATTACTATTTTGTGTTCTGTGTTTTCACTTAGAATTAAAAGATGTAGTTAACTGTTTAACAGCTTATATGTTATATGAATGTAATACAATACTAAATAAACGGAATACAAAGTAAATTATATTTGTCGGGCTCGCTTGTCAGTGACGGTAGTAATGTAAAGTAGGTTGGCCGACTGGGCCCAAGATTTTTTGAATTTTAATAAATTTACAAGTTTTCTAAAACATTGGGCTTCGTCTTAAACTCTGAATATGAAATGAGTGGTAAGAATACCGAAATAAATGAAAAAACTGTGAATTTTTATCACGTTTCAGTCTCGACTATAAGATATAGGAAGGCAGCGCATCGTATTAGCTGTTCTATGTGGCTAGGGTATTTCATTTATCATCAAGAACACTTACTTGTCTGTCCTCTATCATAAGAAACAATGTTACAATTAACAATTGTATTTTCTGTATTGATTACTGAATTACAAAGAAATAGAAGAGAAGAACAAAAGGGCTATGCTAGGGTTTTATAGTTACCGAAACAGTATCGATCATTGATGATCGGTATAATTTTACAAGTAACTCAAGCTTCAGAAATTCCGCATTTACCCATATTATGTATAAATCCGCCATTTTGAAAGCATTAATATATACATTAGCGTTTTCCCTCACGCAGATTTCATAGCAATCCGACGATTAACGTCGCACACAGCAACGCTTATAATATTTAACACTAGCGACACATCCACGCTTTACTCGTAAAAAATCAGTTGAACCATCCTTTGTGGCTCTATTATCTAAAATCTACTACATTCTGTGTTATCTGTAGTTTACTTTAGTGTATAAAACACTTTTAACGAGTTAAAACGGGATATATATTTTAATTAATCTGTGGTGAAGGTAATTAGATTAACTTATATAATTCGCGTTTTAAACCGCTTAAAGTGTTTTTTTTATTAGTACCTTACTCTTTAAATAATTGAAATTAATTGTTAAAAGTACTTTTAGAGACTGTCTGTGGTTTACGCGACGTAATTGAATGGTTTAAAACACGATATACATTAGTTAAACTTATATAAACTACGGCCCGACGTTTCAAATGCTTTGTAGCATTCGTGGTTTCCTTATAACTTCCAAATAAGTTTAACTAATATATATCGCGTTTTATACCGTTTAAACTTTTGTACTAATTACTTAAGTAAGATTTTTCAAATCTCTATCTATGTCATACTTTAACTTTGAACATATGTAATTGGACTCAAATAAATAACGAGAAATATGTATAGGCGAGTTTTATTAAATCAGGCTCGTTCAATTTTCATTCCACTGCAGAACGTCACATAAAATACAGCCTTTCAGTCTGCTACGGACAAAAGCAATTTCAGACGTAGCGTGATTGGACGAATTACAAAAATGCCGGACACTGAAAAATGTCCGCACCACCCTCGCTGCCGGCGATAATGTAATTATCGACGTTCAATTTTGTATAAAATGCCATGTGTGTGTACCTAGTACTATTTTATAGTGTGGGGGGGAAGCCACCCTTGGGGGGAATCATCATGACTGCGCAGTTAGAGCGAGACGGAAACAAAAATCTATCTAGAGTCTAGGTATATACGACTCCCCTCGTTAATACAGGAGATTTTTACAGCAGTTGATGTACCTCCAATATTGGATAGTGTATACATGCACATATACACCCGTTTATATATATTTATGCCCGTAGTTTATACGTACATATTTCAATAAAACTTTTAACGGTTTAAAACGAGAAATGTATCAGTTATTTACAATTTTAACTATGTCCCGACGAATCGGATCCTTTCAGTCATTACGATAGTATTTGAAACCGTTAAAAGTGTTTTATTTAAATGCTAGTAAAGTATTTACTTATTAAAATTAAGAGTTATTATTTATATATGTTTGGTAATGTACTGTATGCTATATCTTCGTTAGATATTTCATTAAATATATACAACACTACAATAGAGATAATGTCTTATGTTACGAGTGAAAAGATTTCTGCGTTCGAGTCTTGGTGAAACAAAAATAATAAAAAATTGGTTGTAAAACGGACACAGTTTACTTGTAGCGTACGTAGGGATTTGAGACTATGTTACGTATAATGTAATTTATACTTATATATTGTTGAGTGTATATTACTGTCATAGAATTGAAACAGGCACTTGCATAGTGCATTGTCTTTCCTAAGTATTTGCTATCGAGGTTTGATGAGGCGTTAGAGTAGCTATCTAGAGGGGTTAATCTACCACATCTCTTTAGATATTGTGAATGGAAGCCTTGTAGATTTGTATAGGATAAAATATTATATTTAATTAGTAATTTGGGGGGAAATCACTCTGCCCTACAAATATTGTATTTATTGTTTTTCAAAGACAATGAAATAAGATTATACGGTTTAAAACGCGATACACATAATAAACATTCTTTATTGCAAAAATCATAAACAATAACTAACATATATACGTTTAGAATTTAAAGTGTTTATTTGAATATGTACAACTCGAGTACAAACATATTGATGTACATATTTCTAACAAATACTTTAAACTTACATGAATTCCTAAGGTATGCGAGCCTGAACAACAGTCGAGCAACTTTGCAATACTTACACCATTCATAATTGAAAGACATAAATAGGTATTTTTATTAACATTTTACGATTTATTATAAATATACAAATGGACTCTTAGATCCTGGTATACTGTCGGATCCATATTCTTATATCGGGATGTGAGAGGTTAACATACACACCGGGGAGGTGTCTTCCACACCCATAACCAAAGCTGGACAGACCCACAAGACGGGAATAGGACACCGCTGCACCACCACTGTCACCCTTAAATCAAACAGGCCATTGACAGGCCAGGATTCGAATCCACGATATCCTTGTTCACTTCTGGTACTGCGTATGTTTTCAGGAGGATAGACCAGCAAATCCACTTGACTTAGTGAAATATCCATAGATGTTATATGGGTACCACGATGCATTGTTGATCTATTTTGGTCTTCGATATTGTCAAGAAAAAAAGTAATGTAATACAAGCATAAGTTACACATTAAGTCAATGTTTGAACGCGTTCATCAGAGCAACAGCCGAGACGATGCCGGTTCAAGTCCTCCCCGAGTCGAAATTTTTTTCAATTTTAAATTTTTAAATTATATAGTGCCTTAATGGCAATAACATGTAAGATACACTATTAAACAGTTTTTTTTTCAAACTTAAGCCTTCTTAAGTCAATGTTTAAACGCGTTGCATCAAGCAAGTCAAAGGTTCGAATCCCGGGAAAAAATAAATAAATAAAAAACAATCATATTATTTATATGCTTGGTTTCTATATAATATAGTAGTGTAGGTATAACAAGGGAGGCTGTAAGCTGGCTATTGATATTCACTCCGGGTCATCAACCCTATTTTCATGACGGAACTTGTGGAAAGCGTTTCAAAGGTAGCTTGATAAATAATTATCCAAACGTCATTTGGTTTCAATAAATTTAATATAAGTAGCATAGTCGTGTTAAGTATTTATTAACAATTTTAACTAATATATATCGCGTTCCAAACTGTTAAATATTTTATTTAAATATGTACTACTCGCGTAAACTACATACTCAAATAGTTATCTGATATCGCACACACAGAAAACATAAGATACAGACACAGAAATTTGTCTGCCACACAGACACGATGCAAACTTCTGTCGATCTAGTGAGATCCGAACTCGTCTATGCAATAAATAAGTGTATATTTCATAGCAAGTAATTGTTCGGACTTATTTGCCCTAACCTAACTATAATGAGTAATGAGAAATCTGGATTCGAACCGGGGACTCAAGCTGCACGTAATAAATCATATCGATATATTTAAATACTGTGTGCTGTATATGCGAGTAGTACCCATTGAATTAAATATGTCAACGGTTTAAAACGCGAAGTCTCTTAGTTAAACTTGTCTACTAATTAAATACTGTCTATAGTTTACGCGAGTAGTACACATATAAATAAAACACTTTAACGGTTCAAAACGCGATATATTACTTAAACTTATTTTAAAATGATTTTTCTCTCTTTGAGTCTCCCCGTGACCACGGCGGCAAAGCATCCGAAACGTAGGGCCGAAGTTAAAAATCATTATCAAATAAGTTTAACTAATACATCGCGTTTTAAACCGTTAAAGTGTTTTATTTAAATTGTTTACTAATTATTTTTGTATTAATGTAGTAATAATATATAAATAAAGTATGTTCTGATCAATTGATGTATATTTCAATTAATAAATAAATGATCACTATCCATCATTAATTAACTACCACAGATACCTGACAAGCATCTCCTTGTTCGTCTCCCGCGCAGAACATCCTGGTAGTCAACGTGTGGTTGTACCAGGGGTTTTTTACTTTCTGACAAGCTGCTAAAGGCACCACCTCAATTTTAACTCGCTGCAGGATGTCATTATAGTCTCCCTGAAAATTTTAATTAAGCTTTATTTTCCAGGATATGGAGAAATGTAGGGGGATGTGGAGAAGTGTTGTAATATTCTTTATGGATTCTGGATTTATTGAATTATATGCCCTTATAATATATAGTAGTTTTGTATAATAAGCGAAACTATGTTTTATTAGATAAGCATCAGATTCATTTGATGTAGGTGTAAACCCCACCCTATTATAATATTTATATATGGAATTTTCCATATGTAGACAGTATTTCTTGGCCCGTATACCGTATACTTTCTACGACCCGTTTCGATAATTATAAAGATTTTACAGATGGAGACCTGGAAATCTGATGTGTATTTGAAAAATAATACAATAATTTAGAACATATCGTTCACGATGAAAATCGAACCTACATTGCGGTGATAATGCCATACATTGTATGTACAAATAAGACTATGATAAGCGACAATTTATTGAACTAAGTATTGTCGGTAGTACGTACGCGAGTAGTACGCAATTAAATGAAACACTTTCAACTGTTCATAACACGAAATGTATTAGTTAACTTGTTTAGATCATTTAAACTATGGCCTGACGTTTCTGATGCTTTACAGCAGCCGTCGTCACGGGGGGACTGAAGATGGAGGGTGTCCCTAATGTTAAGGTCGAAACTGCTCCACTAGCGCCATCTCTTTCATCGTGGTTGGTATTTAGGGAAATTGGGCCCTTACAGAAGTGACTCAAGGTATCCTCCCGTTTACCGGTATGCTGTTTTTTGGCAACTAGTGTTTTAATATATCCTATATTAAGTTTGATACCCTGAAGCCGTCCGTACAATTTCAATTCGCAAATAAATCGTAAACAAGTTGACTACTTACTTGCATGCGGTATCTGCATATTTATAAGTTTAATTTTAAAATGTAGTTAATATTATGCTGTTAAACTATGTCTGTTAAATAAAGCTTACTTTTGTAGTTCTATAATTAAAAAATAAATTAAAAAAGAATACACGTCTTGTTTTAAACCGTTAATAGTATTTATACAAATTTTCCTGAAAGACCACCTTTTCCTCAGAATACCCCCAGCCAGTCACAATAACATCATCACCGCAGACTCCTTGGCTTATCTCTATATTAGATACAGTCCTCCCAAAGCTTAAACATCGAAATAGTTCCAGCAGCTGCACGTCATAATCGAATCTGTGTTGCAGACCGTACAGTGGATGAACGAAGTGGGATTTGATGTTGATCTTCGGTCCTGTTAGGCGATATTTACTACCCACTCGTATGAAGTCTTTGTCGGGACTAAAAAAAATAATTATGGGTAAGGTGATCAAGCACTTAGAAGGTTTTATGAGTAAAAAGAAAGCCTAAGAAAGCTATACCGTGAATCTATGTCCCTTAGTTTTTGTTTAGTTTTTTTTTAATATAATTTATTAAGTGTATTTATTTATATATCTATTATATTGTTTATTTATATAATTTTTGACAGCGAATCGCCGTTCCGAGAGTGTAAAGAAACGTCAACTGTCATCTGACATTTGACTGTGACAGTTGGATCAAGTGCAGTTGACGTCTGACACAACTCCGGGCTCTTATGTGTGCGCTGAGGCAAAAACGAGGAATCCGTTGGCATCGCGGGAAAAACAAGGCATCAGTGGAGTGTCGGTATCAATTAACTTAACCAAAATTGAAGATTATAATAGCGGCCTTTTTTGTTAATATAATTATTAGAACAGTCGATATCTGAAAAAGTAGTTTTAATTCTTCTCGCCCATCTAACAAATCACTCGGCAACCACAAGGGACAAAGACGAAAGATGACGAAAATGACATAGTGCCTTTATCTATACTAATATATACAGGTGAAGAGTTTGTTTCTTTGATTATTTGTTTGAACGCGCTAATCTCAGGAAGTACTGGTGGGCATTGAGAAATTATTTTTGTGTTAGCTAGAACAATTATCTAGGAAGAAACTGAAAAAAAATATTCATCTTTATGGCGTTGCGTACGCTGCGAAAACGGTTCAAGAAACCAAAAAAATATGTACGAAGGAATTATTCCTCTTAAAATAATGTAAAAAATGTCTGCGATACTATATGTCTATATTTTAAGATTAACTCGCAAGAACAACGAGATTTGACCGACGTCATCTTAAATCTATAAAGCTGAAGAGGAGGTTTGCAAAAACAAATTTTGATGCCCAAAATAACTACGCGGACGAAGTCGTTGAACACAGCTAGTTGTAGTATAGTGCTTTGAAATATTTACCCGCAGTGTGCGCTAGTTAAAAGCCATTTCTTATGAATAACCACTGCACCACATATGTCTCCATAATTGGCTTGGTATGGTACTTTGTCTATTGTTGTATTCTCTCCACCTAAAATACTATTATTTTATTACTTCTAAAGTCCTTTCTAACCATCTCGGCCATCGTGACTGAGTTAAATGCAAGAAGTCCAGAGTTTGAATCTCGGTATTTTATTAAGAATTTTGTTCTAGGCCCATAACTCTAAAGAAGTAAATGGTGACCGTTGAAATATAATATATTTCAACGTGCAAGTAAAACGCAGTTAAACGGCCCGACGTTTCGGATGCAAAAGCCGTGATCACGGGGAGACCGCAAACAAGTTCAATTAATATATATCGCGTTTTGAACGCGTTTTATTCAAATGTGTACTACTCATGTAAACTACACTACACACAGTATTTAAATAGTGACTTGCCTGCAAATGAAACAGTTACAGATGTGTACCTGCTCCGAATCACTTATTGAAGAAAGTACTGGACCAGGTACTAACAGTTATGTTTGTTAAATATTTCTAAGAATTATGAAACACTAACCAATTTATAGTTACAACGCGAAGTAACATCAAAACAAAATAAACGAGCATATTCGATAAGAAAACTATAAAAGTTGCTGAAAATATTTTCAATTTGTTCATGAATCTTTGTAATATGGAGAAAATTTAAAGGTTTTATCTGTAGTTTACGCGAGACATGAATACTTTAACGGTTTAAAACGGGAATTATAAGTGTTATTGACGACAGTTAATAAATAGATAGCCGAAACGTCAAGAATTAAAAATGTTGACTAATTCTAAGAGGATATATTATAATTCCCGTTTTAAACCGTTACAAGAAAATGTAAGAATAGTACACTTTGTCAAACAGTTGTTGACACGACGCGAGTTTGAGTCTCGGTTATTGATCTTTTATCTCCATAATATTGTGATAATTTGGCATACTTGCATATTTTAAATACGATTTCAACTTAAATAGTAACCTACTTTATAAAGGTTGCTAGGGCCAGAGTGGCCTATTAACAAAAACATGATTTTCAATAAGGGCACAAATAAAAATGTGCAATTAACTAACTAAAAATGATTTTGTACTATAATTTGTATAATAATTATGTTGACATTTTCGGCCACTGTGCTCTTATAGATTAACATTTTCAGATTATAAAAATACAATTAAGTCAAGTCACAAAATTTCAGTTAGGCTACCTTGGCTCTAGCGGCCTTATATATTATGTCATAATATTCTTTATTCGAATCGGTGGTACCACAAAATACCACTCAAAGAGATAAAGGTAGTGGAATGGAACAAAACAACGACAGAATTCGTTTAATCAAAATTGATGCCAGTTATATCTTTGATCCAGGGCCTGACTTTCGCCACCTTGCTATACACCCCAAATGAGCTGGGGGTCGCGCAACCGTAACCAAATGATACCATGCCGAGTAACCTGTCTTCGTGAACAGCTGGTCCACCAGAATCACCCTAGAGAAACAATACTGTTGTGTAAGTATATAATATAAGATGATGAGAAAATTAATAAAAATAATATTTAAATTTCCTTCTTAACGGTCTAAAATGAGACATCTATTAGTTAAGCTTATTTACAATTTAAAATTTTAAACGTGTTGAGCATTTCGCGTTTTAATCCGTTAAAAGTGATTTATTCAAATGTGTACTACTCGCGTAAACTAGAGACAATGTTAATTTTTTATTTATCTTACAACGAACCCACGTTGCGAATGCTTTGAAGCAGTTGTAGATGGACCACACGTTTAATATGTTCGCTTTTCACACCGTTAAAATTGATTTATTTAAATCTGTACTACCCACATAAACCACAGGCAATGCTTAAACAAATATTATTACTTCTTGGAAAGGGACCCGAGTCAAAAACTTTTAGCGACCGTACACTGTCATTTAAGTTACGATGTAATTATATATCTATTTCTATCGATATTAATGTAAACAAATAACGTTCAAATACAAGCACAAAGTCAAAATTAAATTCAAGATTAAGATTAATTTAAGATACTAAATTCCACTATCAAGGTCTTACTGTGTAGGTAATTAAACAAAATAATTTGAATACCTGACAAGCATCCTTCTTCTCCACATCGAATCCGGCGCAGAACATCCTAGCAGTTAGACCACCTCTGAAGTAGGGGAAAGGGACGTTCTGGCACTTCTCTTTTGATATAATTGGTACTCGGACTGCGCGTAGAACGTTAGAATAGGGACCCTGTTATAACAATCAAATTATACTAACGGGGGAAATAAAATTGAGCAAAGTCCCACCAAGACATGTAAAAAAAGAACCAGGTAACCACTAAGATATGAAAAGGGTAAAGTAAGGTTTTACAAAGAATAAATAATTTCAGCGAGATAGAAGTAGTCGTTGTTATAGATTATCTTTTTGACTCTAAATAAAATGTCTATGATCCATTTGATTGCTTATAATCCTAATTTACTAAAAATATCAAGAAAGAAAGAAAAATGTGTTCATTTTCTCACAACTAAGAATTTTCGATATATCCAGATTTCCAGACGAAGTTCAACATTTTTCAGAAAATTTATCACGACCCGTTGATTATTGCTACCATTAGACCGAAAACCCGTTAAATATATTATTATAGATTATGCCTATAAGTACATTAAAATCTCAAGGAGTACTAAATATAACTCCTAAATATAAGGAGTAAGTACGTAATATCTCCACGATATTTTACAGCTTTTTATAAAGACCTTAGAACCACTGCTCCAGTGCGGATAAGTGGAACGAGTTCCTCCGATAAATTTGTGATGATATATAAGAAAACTTTTAGGAAACTTTAAAAAAGCGGACAATTATTTTGAGTAGTGAAGCAAATAATCTTACATTCTCCTCTGTATTACCCCAGCCGGTGACAGTCACGACCTTTCCGATAGTCATATCTTCGATGTGGGCTATCTTTATTGGTTGGACGTTGTCATCAAATTTCAACGCTTCGGCGAGTTCTATGAGTTGAAAGTCAAAGTCGAAGGGATGCTCCTTGCTCTTAGCCTTTGGACTCCACATGGGATGGATGAAGTTTCTCTTGACGGCGACCTTCCTTCCTTGGTTGAGGTATTTTGATCCAACGCGGATGTACGGCTTTCTCCTATAAGCACGGATCATATACATAGCAAATGCATTTTGGATAAAAAAAAGTCTAACATAGCCTCGAACCCACGACTCACTCAACTAATAATATTACTTATTGAAGTCGTAGGAACGGAGATGTTTAGTTGGATTCTTGGGTAACAAATACTTTTCGGTCGGGCAGGAATCAGAATGCTGATTCTTACTTACTTGTCTTGATAAAGACAAGTAAATACTGTCTATAGTTTACGCGAGTAGTACACATTTAAATAAAACACTTTATCGGTTTAAAACGCGATATATTATAGTAGAGCGAGACTGACAGTCTCCCCGTGACCACGGCTGCTGCAAAGCATCCGAAACGTCGGGCCGAAGTTGAAAATCATTTTTCAAATAAGTTTAATTAATATATCGCGTGTTAAGCCGTTAAAGTGTTTTATTTAAACAGACAAGTAAGTTAGTAGTTAGTAGTAAATGTTGACTGTGACTGTAGCTAGACATTTTTTTTAAGGAACGGTACAAAAGATACAATTGGAAGATACTTAGTAAATGGTGTCTTATGTTTATGCTAGTACACATTTAAATAAAACACCTTAAACGGTTTACGAAGTGAAAAGTATTAGTGAATAATTGCTTTTATATATTTTACGTAGTACCTCCATGACCATGGCTGCTACAAAGCATCCGAAACGTCGAGCCGTAGTTAAAGTAAATTAGAAATAAGTTAATATTCTGAGTTTCAACCCATTGTCGTTATACACAAGCAAGAACCCAAACATTAGTCAGAAACATTTTATCACTGTCTCTACCTTAGTTCGAACCTAGGACTTCGCTCTAAACACAACCTGCCAACTCATTTTATACATGTCTATGGCTTTAATAAGATTGTATTAGTTATTTCAAGATTTTTTAGACATATAGACAATAATAAAAAGATGTACAAACCCACAATGGCCAGCCGTTAAGACCCATCGCTTATCGATAATAGCCCCGCCGCAGTTAGTCCCATACCCCACATGGTACGGGTACAAATTGATATCCACTTCAAAACCGCCGACAATTTTGTCTTCCCCATAAAGGTTTTCAAAATCTTCATCTATTCGTTTTGATAGTTTTTTATTAAATCTGTCTTTATTGTAATCAAAATTGTCGATATCTGGTACGTCTGTTGGTTCGTCGTAGGGCTCCAAGTCGATTTTCAATAAGTTGTCCTGTTTTGGTTGCTTCTTGAAAATCGGGATCCGGAGTACTTCTGTCTGATGTTTAGTGTGACTCACTTTTGGTATTGGTATGACGAGAAGATCATATTCTGGAAGAGAATTTCGCATATTTATAATTTTTGAAAACTTGAACTTTTTTCACATGTTATGGCATTGCTTTTTTTTAGTTCTCCGAGGCAATGACAAAATTAGAAAAGCAAGTCATATAGATTAGTAGTAATTTTAAACATTATGCACTGTTAACCTTTTGGCTTTAGATAGTCAGAAAGTCGGACGTTACAACAAAATCATGGGCTGATTTATAAATAGGAATATCAGAAATAGTAACATTTTATTATTTATAAAAAAGTACATACGTTCTAATTTCACTGTTCTTGTACAAAGTAAACCTATCAAAAAATATCTAATCATCATTGTACGAGTAGAAAAATACTAACTTTCGAGTTATAACCAACGATTCAATACAACGAATTTAATTTGCCGTGAAATTAGTAATTTGTTAAGACAGAACGTTCATGTTAGTCCTATAAAGCAATCACTTCAATGCGCTATGGTTGCTTAGTTTTTGATAAAACTGTTAGTATACGTATTTAATAACAAAGGTTTGTTTCAGGGGTTTTAACTTAATACAACTACAGAATGGTATAATAAAATAATTAATTTGTTATCTGTGTTTACAAAAAAAAAAAACAGATTGTAGGCAAAAATGTTTTTAAATTATTTAATATAATGACATCTATCGACACCAATGTGAACCTAAAATTTTACTGTGAACAGTGACATCTGTTGTAAGAAATGCCACTATGTTTTAGCTACTAGTATAATTAAAAGGACACTATAAGATTTTATTTGTTATTTCCTCTATTTATTTTTATTTAAGTGTTGTCATATTTATTTTAATTTTATATCATAACTGTAAATATTTGATACCATATTTAATACTGATACTGATACGTATTGCCATCTCTTGTCGAATAGAGAGAAAATACAATTAAAAATAAACTGGTTTTAAATATCAAGAATAAAGTATATTTTAATATATTGTATAAAATAATTAAAACAGGTTTAAAGTCTCAATGTGCCTTTATTATACATAAGTTAATTTTATTGTGACAATCCGTAACATAAAGTTTTTTTTATTAACACTATTGCATAATAGATAAAAACAACAATACAACACAAACTTAAATAGACTAAAATGGAGTATAATGGGTATATGTATCGCGATCTATTCGAAAGAAAAGTGCAACGTGGGCAAAACAAATATACAATCGTAAGAATTACAAAAATTATATTATAATCAAAAGATTAATTTATCTATGTAACTTCTTGTGGTTCACATGTGGTATGTGCATATCTGTGACTTATGCTTGTAAGAGTTAGTTCGGTTTGATTTTCAGTTGTGTACATTCCGATACAATGATTTTCTGAAAATGTATATCTATTCTAATAAGTATTTCTCGTAAGACATAGGCAATTACAAGATTAATTAAAAGTATACAGAAGTTTCCGATAACGAAAGACATATACAGCTTAGGCTTTAATTGGGAACAAGGGTGTCACATACTTATGTACACTTTTCTGTGTTCGTTTCTTGACTAAGTAGGTAAAATAGTGCTATGTACTTTTTTTAATTCTTAATTTCATTTAATATAATTATTAACATACCGAAAAATTTAAATCACTTTATGTATGTCTGTCATAATTTTTGTAGACAAGAGAAATCTTAAATACTGTCTGTAGTGTACGCGAGTCGTACACATTTAAATAAAACACTTTAACGGTTTAAAACGCTTTATATTTTAGTTAAACTTGTTTAAAAATTTTGAAAACATTAATATTTTTCACATGTTTTTGCCCATGGAGGCACTATATAATTTTAAAAAAAAAAAAAAATTTTTAAAATTTTTTTCCCCCGGGGGGGGGGTTCCCCCCCCCCCCCCCCCGGGGTTTTGGGGGGAAAATTTTTTGGGGGGGGGGGTTTTTTTTTTTTTTTTTTGGAATGGGGGGGGGGGGGGGGGGGGGGGGGGGGGGGTGGGGGGGGGGGGGGGGGGGGGGGGGGGGGGGGGGGGGCCCCCCCCCCCCCCCCCCGGAAATTTTTTTTTTTTTTTTTTTTTTTTTTTTTTTAAAATTATTTATAGATAAAATAATTAGGCCGTAGATAAAATAATTTTCTAACAAGTTTAACTAAAATATATCGCGTTTTAAACCGTTAAAGTGTTTTATTTAAATAAGAGGAATCTTAACATAGCAAGCTTAGCTTAGCTTTTGCAATAAAATAAAGAATAATAATTTTCTGTAAATTATTAATTTTGCATTACAACGTCCAAAGCCAAAATACAGATCGACATGAGATCTTGAGATGTTGAATGGCTGGGATATATTAACTTCCACCAAATGAAACCCAAGCTTGTCCGTTCTCTTGTATCATAAAAAAATATAGCCTAAGTTAAATACTGTCTGTAGTTTACCACGTGACCACGGCTGCTGCAAAGCATCCGAAACGTCGGGCCGTATATAAAAACAATTTTGAAACAGGTCTAACTAAAATATATCGCGTTTTTAACCGTTAAAGTGTTTCATTTAAATAGTCTATGTCACTTATCGTCCTAATAATTAACGAGATATAAAAGAAGTGAAAGAAAAAATATTGAAAACAACGTTTGGCGGTTTGTTTCTTTGAACGCGCTAATCTCAAGAAGTGAAAAATATTGGTTTGAATTAATAAATAATGTTATGGTTTGACTATTTATCGAGTTAGGCTTTAAATCATAACCATACGACGTATAGGAGCGAAGAAACAGCGGAAAACGTGGAAACAACCGGAAAATATCTTCATCATTGAGGGTTTGCGTTGCTAGCACTGCGAAAACCGTTCAAGATATCCAAAGATATCTAAGAAAGATTCCCATTTAAATGATCTTATAAAATAGAACAGTACATATTTTAAGACGAGGTTTGCAAAAACAAATTTTAATTCCCACAATAACTATTCAACGCGGACGAAGTCACTAACGTAGCTTGTGTATAATAATGCAAAGCAAAGTCTGTAAGGCTATAGTATCTTATTTCAATCGATGAACATAAGAACCTCCCGCTGTAAATAAGCGAAGGGGGATGAATACATAATGAAATTCGCCCTTACCGTCCGTTAATCAAAAACTGCTGCAAAGCGCGCGCTGGAAAGACTTAAGAAAATGGAAATTTTCCTACCCTCCTTTTTCCTGTTAAAAACCTCCCGAGGCGAGCGGGTGGTTGGACAACCCCACTTTCAGGTTGGCTAACTATGGATAAGGCCTTTTTATATAGGATAATTTTCTTCCTCCTTATATAAGTTGAGGGTAGCTACGAGTTTGACGTGTTTTGTGACGCTCCCTGATTTTAAATAAATTTAAATTTAAATACCTATTAAATCAAAGTGATGTGTTAAAGAAAACGTATCTTAACTTGTGCACTACTTGTCCTCTCACATATTTCATCATTTTATAACACCATGGCAACTCAAAATCAAGATAAGACTGTGGACATACTTAACAAAACAATAGCTGATCTGACAACCACCTTCACAAGCCAGCTCAATGACTTTCAACGGGATCTTCAGGCTTCTAAGGCCGGCACTGGTACACCCTTGGACAAACTGACCCATGATTTTGATGCTTTCCGTAACCTGGTCCTGTCATCATTGCAGTGTTTGCAGTCTCAAGTAAGGGCACTTATGGTGTTTAATGAACATCAGGAAATGCGCAGAAGGCGTAAGATGTTACTTCTCCATGGAGTGCCTGAATCTAACAATGAAGATGTGCCGCAGGTAGTCTCAAAAATATTAACGGAAACACTACTAGTGCCTGATGCTTCAAAAGATGCACTTAATCGATGCCATAGAATGGGTAGCACAGCAAAGAATAATAAGCCAAGGCCCATTGTCATTAAATTCATTGATGTAGCGCTCAGGGATAGAGTGTGGTTTAAGAAAACATCTCTTAAAGGATCAGACATAACAATGTCTGAATTTCTTATCAAGTCACGTCGTGACCTATTCTTGGCTGCCAGGGAGCAATTCGGAATTTCCAAATGCTGGACTAGCGGTGGTTCTATTAGGATTATCACTCCTGGTGGTTCGCGTGTACGGGTGGAAACAGAGGCTGATCTCAAGGATTTAATAGAGTCTTCAAAGAATCAAGCCGCTTCATCAAGTAAATATGAAACGAGATCTAAAAAACACCCGAAAAACAAATAATAAGTGACATTACTTAATCCAATATAGAATAGCTCATTTGTATTTCTCTAAAAGTTACAACTACCATTTTGTATTTCACTTGTATGGTTTATCTGTGGGCCCTAAAACTCTGATCTTTGTATATACAACTTTATTAGTATATTCAACATATAATTCCAATGAATAATTTGTATATTATGTTTCTTCAATGTGCAGGCTCCATACCATAGAAGTTGGAATACTCATACTGATGGTTCATACATAATAGGTGTCCACATATAGTTTTATTTTAGAACTTATATGATAGTAAACTCAATAGAAATAACTTTGCTTTTACGTTCATTACAACATTAATATTATTGTTGTTATTTTAAACAAAATCTGTCAAAATATCAAATCTTGTAATGTCAATTAAGTATAATGATACAGATTGTACAGTGTCAGTGTCCAGCGTTTTTAAATCGCGACGTTTTATACAGACTATTTACTGTGTTACAGATTAAGCTTGCGTGAAATAAATTAAAAATTTGTTGGGATGTTACAACTTATACATAGAGTGCTAGCAAGTTTTGGTACATACTACATTTGTTTAAAAAAAGTATTTTTGTTTTTGTTGTAAGCTATTAGAGTAAAATTCATTTTAAATTTCACTTAGTTTATTAAAGTACATATTTTAGTTCATATATTTTATGCACAGTGGTAACTCAAGTGAGGAGTCACTTCCATTAGTTGACTCAAGCCATCTCAGTTCAGGCAGCAGTAGTAGCAGTGTTCCTGACCCGTTTATTCCACTCGATGAGGCACTTCATGCTACCTTGTCAGACTTTCCTAAGAACTTTAATTTGGTTCACATAAATGCCCAGAGTCTACCGGCTCATTACAATGACTTATTGATATCTTTTAATTCAGATCACATACATGCCATTCTTATTTCGGAGACTTGGCTTAAGCCAACATTGTCGAATACTTCCTATCTTTTACCAGGCTTTAATCTTATAAGACATGATCGAGTAGAACGTGTTGGTGGCGGTGTGGCCATTTATCTGCGCTCCAATATACCATTTAATATAGTAAGCACATCTCCCGTTCCACCCCAGGCAGACACTATAGAACACCTATTTATAGAGATATTACTTTCTAATTCTAAGATTCTCCTCGGTGTAGGTTACAGTCCATCTTTACAAATTAATTATTTTAATACCTTTGAAAATCTCCTGGAAAGGTTGTGCCCTTTATATCAACATGTCATTGTAATGGGTGACTTTAATACATGTCTTCTAAAAAATGACTCTAGGGCTAACAAACTAAAATCCTTGATCAACGCTTGTAACCTGAATGTCATACCTTTCCAAGCTACACACTTCTTCCCTGGGTGCTCGCCATCTCTTCTTGACCTTGCTTTTGTTTCTTCTCTTTCTCATGTCTCCAAATTTGGTCAATTGGGAGCTGAAGATTTTTCTTATCATAATCTTCTTTTCATTTCGTACCTTATCCGCCCTCCTAAAATAAAGCGGAAGACATTGCTGCAACGAAATTTTGCCAAAATGGATCTACAAGTGCTAGCCGATGATACACAAAATATTGATTGGTCTTCAGTTTTATACGCAAACACAGTTGATGTCAAAATCAGTGCTCTTAATTCAATTTTAACAAGACTTTTCGATAAACATGCTCCACTTAAATTGGTAAAGATCAAGCACACACCTGCGCCGTGGCTGACTAATGATCTAAAAGAACTTATGCGCAAGAAAACTGCTGCTAAGGCCAAGCTGAAGAAGAGCAACAGTGACTATCATCGTGAGCAATACAGAAATGTACGAAACCGATGCAACACGTTATGCAGAGACGCTCAAAGGCAATATATCCACAAGTCAGTAGAGGGTGGCAATACTGCTAAAACATGGAAATTCTTGAAGTCCTTAGGTTTCGGCAAAAAACAACTTCTTTCTCCTATCCCAAGTAGTATTAGCTTAACCCAATTAAATCAGCACTTTTCCTCTGCCACTTCAGGCCTAAATCTTTTAGATAAAACTAAAACATTAAACTTCTTATCTCATTTGACCAATACAAATCATCAAACATTTAATTTTACGCCGGTGACTGAGAATGTCGTCAAAGAAAGCATAATGTCCGTCTCCTCTAATGCCTTAGGGTGTGATGGAATTGGCCGTGCTATGATAATCCCTATCCTTGATATCATATGCCCTATCATTACTCACATCTTCAATTTTTCACTAGAATCCGGCTCATTTCCCCACTTATGGAAGAAAGCTTATATATTGCCAATCCCAAAAAAACGCAACCCGCAAAGTTTTCCCGATTTCCGTCCTATATCCATTCTTCCTTTTCTATCTAAAATTCTTGAAAAATTGGTACATCAACAAGTCAACCAATTCCTTATTTCTAATTCATTGCTTGATCCTTACCAATCTGGCTTTCGTACCGGTCATAGCACGGTCAGTGCTCTAGTGAAGGTAACAGACGACATTCGTTGGGGATTTGATAACAGGACCTATACTATCTCAGCTATGCTTGATTTTAGCAATGCCTTCAATACAGTGGACCATGACATTCTTTTAGCTCTTCTCAACAACCTTAATATATCTCCCTCGGTCGCTAACTGGTTCAAAGACTACTTATCTGATCGCCAGCAATGCATACGAGTAGATGATACGATATCTTCTTGGTGTACTGTTCCAGCTGGCGTTCCTCAGGGGGGGGTGTTATCTCCTCTTCTTTTTTCCCTCTTCATCAAGACTATCACTGCAAACCTCTCCTCTTCATATCATGTTTATGCCGATGACCTCCAAATTTATGCTCAAACTGATATCAATAATTTAAATAACTCAATTGATACCATTAATTCTGATCTCGCGCTAATTATGCAATGGAGCAAGTCATATGGCCTGCATCTAAATCCAACAAAAACGCAAGTTCTTATATTTGGCACATCGAGTATGCTATCGCGGATTGATTGGACAAACTTCATTCGTTGATGGAGTTCCTCTCACAACGTAGTTGTGCGAAAAACCTAGGTATCTATATAGACCAGACATTGTCTTGGACAAACAGATTGAGGAAGTACGTAAGAAAGTGTTTGCTGCTGGTTCATCTCTTCGCAGACTTTCCAATTTCCTACCAGTACCAACGAACAAGTGCTAGCGCATTCTTTCAATCCTAATTATGCTTGTTACCTTGACATCACTGAAGAACAACTAAATAAATTGGAACGCATGCAAAATTATGCTATTCGTTTTATCTTTGGACTGAGAAAATATGATCATGTCTCTGAATACCGTAAAAAACTCAATTGGTTGACAATACGAAAGAGGCGTGATATGCACGTTCTCTGTCTACTCTACCGAATCCTTTTTGATCACACCACTCCTTCTTACCTTAAAAAACGATTTATCTTCCTAGGTGCTTCTCACGAACTTGATTTGAGATCAATTGATAATCTTCTTCTCTTTATGCCTCTGCATACTACGAAAACGTATTCTAACTCTTTTTCAGTTCATGCTGTTAGACTCTGGAATTCCCTACCTATTATGATTAGAAAAGCGCAGTCACTATCAAGCTTTAAATACAAGTTAAAAAACCTTTTCCTTCAGGATTAATTATATTTTTTAGTAATATATTTTAAAAATATATATATTTATATTTAACCTCTCTAAATTGTCTTCCCGGTGAAACATGCTGCTACGCTTAAATGGCAATGGTTGATACTCACTTATGTGCATAGTTTTACACAGTCATTTGATTGGGTAAATTATTTTAATTATTAAGTCAAACTTTAAAAACATACTTAATATTGTATAAACTTATTATAGCTGTATTGTATAAACTTATTATAGCTGTAGTGTTACCCTTATTATTATCATGTATTATTGTAAATCTCCATTTTCAAGGTTGCCTGGAAGAAATCGCTTTTTAGCGATAAGGCCGCCTTTTCTCGCTACTTTTTGTTAAATTTTAATTAAGTTTATTTTGTAACATTGTGGTGAAAATAAAGTATTTTTTGTTTTTTGTTTTTTGTATAAGTACTTCTATCGTTAACAAGGTTTAATAAATGCGAAATTTATTATTTCACTTAATCACAATTAATTCTATCTACCCGACCCGAGCACAGTCGGACACACAGACAAGATTGATCACTTGATCAAGACTGTTTCATTTAAATATGTACTACTCATGTAAAAGCTACTTCGTTGTATTTACATTACACATGATACTAATAAATGCAATACTATGAACGGTTTTAAACGTAAAATATAATCCTTGTTAATTTTATTTTTATCCAATCAACACAACTAGAAATGAACTAATATATTTCGTATTAGGATCATGTTTTTGCTAAAGATACTTATAATCTAATATTGTCTATAGGAATAAATGTATTTTTATACTTTATCTATTTAATATATAGGAGTATAAACTATAGATCAGGACATTATGGCTGTATTAATTTCTAACAAGACAATATAATCAAACCAATTAGACAACAGCTTGTGTCATAAAACAAATATCGTAATGACATTTTTAAGTAGACCATAGATAACGCGTTATTAAAAGTCAAAGTCGGTATTGATTACTTGCCATTGTATATAAAGGTTGTTTAATAAAAAATCCACCTCCATAGTGATCATCCCCCCCGCCTGCATCACCCGCCAGCCGAATGCAAATTTTATAACAGAGCGCCCGTTTCTTATAGGCATTGTCGTAAACTCGCTCCGTACTTTGCTTAGCTTCGGTCATTTGTTCTGATTGCGTTCCACTCCCATGTTTTTATGGTGTCCTGGTACTTTAGACCGTTGAATTAAAAATGAGTAAGAAAAATTAAACAAAATGATAGATAGTTAAAATATTAGTTTATTTTAAATAATTACTTATGAATACATAACAAATATATTACAAAGACATAAGAAAAACACATTTAACGGTTTAAAATGCGAATATAATCATTAAATTTATTTTTACCTCCGTGATGCCTGCTGTAAAATGTAAGTCCTATATTTCGCGTT